TCAAAATACTGATGAAATTTATAAAAGTACAATTTGTTTATTTAAAAGATTAGTATTATAATTTTTAACGTGTTGATTGAGAAATTTTGTAATAAGCTTGTGAACAGTCGTAAAATTTTATCCTCGTAATTCGCAATTGTACGGAAATAGATTTATTTCCTAATTAAGGTATTTGATGTATTATCAATTTTTATCATAATTAATAACTGTTAGTATTTAATTTTTTACACTATCCATACATACAAGAAGCTCAAATGTAAGTAAGGTATGAGTTACTGCAATTAACAGTGCATTTCCATCTATATCATTCGGAACTCCTCACCAACATTTCTTACATTCTAGAGTTATAAACAGTATCGAGAACCATCTACGTCGGACCATTTACACAGATTACATTGTTAAACTGACGCAAACTCATTCAAAACTTGAATTACTTTAATTATCTTTTCAAGGCCAAATTACATTTATAAATAACTTTCAACACATAATGTATTGCGCGAAGGAAGAAGAATACGATTAATATGACCTTTCCGTGACTATTCTTGTTGTTCCAAAGCTATGCAGAGAGAATCAATTTTAATGCGCATATATATATATATATATATATATATATATATGTGAGTGTATGTATGTGTATGTGTGTGTGTAAACGTAGTGAGATTTTGGTTTTCTTGATTTCACACTTTACCAACAAATCCATAATCTGAACTGATTTCAATAGCTTAAATTGTTAAGCGATATTGTTTCGAAGAGAAAGCAATGTTTACTTATGATTACAGTAGTTATATTCTAAATTTTAAAGTATTAACACTTATAAGTTTCCTAGTTAAGAAAGTCTCCTTGATTTGAAATATTTCCTACTGGTTAAAATAGGTTGTAGAACTGATAAACGGTAACATTTGAAGCTGATGAACATATTCATATAGATGACAAAGGTTGTGACCTTATTGAATTCATTGGCACCGTCCCATTAACCTTAATCTCCCTATCCCTCAATATACCATCGGAACTGGGCTGGCTATTTCTGAACTTCCGATAAATAGTTGAATTTATATTTCTGGAAAATGAAAATTTATTTGATGTAAATAAATACCTGATAACATTTCCTTTCGCAGATATTGGAAAGTTGAGAAAATATTTTTTCCAATCTAATACAGATCTGTCCCTAAGTTTTTAGTCATTGCATACGGAGCACAGAAAACCAGTTAAACAAAATTATTTACATTTGCATGTGGGTTTAATTGGAAGAGATTTTCAAGGTCATTCAAGTATCCAATACTAACTTAAGAACGAATAAATATATAATCTATGTAAAGTCACCAAGTATGGCACTAAAGTAAAGTTAGGTTGGCTAAGCCAACAACCATTTCAGTCATTCTGAGTCATATAGACTATCATAATCACTAAGCTCATTTATGAGGTACTCTTAGATAAAAAAATTTATTTTGTCTACATTGCCATCAATATTAATCATTCAAAATACATTTTACTTGCACCTTTCTGCATATACCGTCAGTGCTTAAGCATTATTTTGTTGACTAATTCACTAACTTTCAAATTAAGTTACCCAATTAATATCAATGCGTATTTCGTTACACACTTTACTCTCATGATGTTTAATTACCACACTCAACTTGCCAAACCACTCATCATCACAATTTAAGCACATCATACCCATTATTGTTTTTACAATTCTGATGACTTGGAGTTTACGGATGTGCAAACTAACGATTTACTGTCACATCTTAGAAACGACAGTTTGTGAGAATCTTCCAATCTTGACTTTGCTGAATGCAGATACCTTTCATTGCCATAGTAATTGGGTTCTGTTACAGATGAATCACTGTGTGGTTTTTAGTCTATTTGCATTTCGTCTTCCACAGCGCAAATTAAAAGTGCTCTAAATACCTCACCTAAACACTGAGATATTATTTGGATTCTAAAGAGTTTGGTATGAGTTAGTGCGAATGCTCTTAATTAGACTGATTAATTAGACATTTTGATAATTATTACAAGCAATCATCCACATTTTGAGCATTAATATGCTCCTTGCAAACTTATTTTTTCTTCTTTAGCGACATAAGCAATAAATTTGCTTTGTCTAGCGTTGGCTGTCACTGGAAACTGCCAACTAATGCCAATCGTTCCAGGTTCATTGCTAAAATTGTAGACATTCCAGTTAAAAAACTCGATAACTGAATGTACTATACTTTATAAATATATATCTATATGAAACTGTCACTCGTTGGAAAAAATAATACAAAATTAATTGCAATTTATTTTTATTTATGTAACCAATTGGACTTGCTTACGAAACTCTCAAAAATATAATCTGAAACTAAGCAATTACCAAAGAACATAGAAATCGGTTTCAATGGTAACATTCCTGCAACATTTTCTAAACACATGTTAACCCGAAAAATTGATTTAAATGATGACGCTTCTGAATGACGCAGTGCCAAGCGTAATTAGATTAATTTAGAAAGCACGAAATCAATAACTACTCAAAGGTAAATTATTCGCAGTATTGATGTCTGACGATAAAATCATTTAAATTTAAAAAAATGATGGCTACAATGGTATTAAAAATTTATAAATAGGCAATTACATTGGTTGAAATAATGGCAATTTTTGACGTCAATGGAAATTTTAAAATTATCTCCAAACTATCGCCACTAGATTTAAATTACATTTACTTTTAATCTAAGAATGGTTTATTCACAGTTTAAGTTTCGATCATTTAAATGGAATAATACTATATTTTTAGAATATCTGCTAATCGAATTAATGATTAAAATAAGCTTTCCAGGATGCATTCAACTGGTCAATTTGTTAAAAGTTCCAAACGAGATGAATATATCTAAAATTACAATCGGGAAGAAAATGACCTATAAAGCAAAAATCATCGGTGTCATTTACCTGTAGCAGGATACCGGGTATTTATGCATATTCGCGCTACCACAACCATTCACCTGTTTTCTTTCAGACGTGATTAAAATTATGAGTCAGATGAGAGTGGAGCAGTCAAAGAGACACATTGGGCCTTGAGATTGGTCTGCCACTAATCAAGTTCATACGGGTTTCTGAATATATTGCAATTTCCACCCCCCCCCCCCCCCCCAGCCTAAGGTAATTATTTTATATGCATTCTCTCCTTACGAGGAACCCTATGTAAAGACACCATCAGAGTTACTACAATGTTATAATAACAAAGACCTTGATTTTCATATTTCAGGACCAATTTCAAGGTTGCGATCAATGCAACTCTGACCAAGAACTTTAGGCTTTTGTGTAAATTGCGGGTTTGCGTTTCTTAAATCTACCCATTAATGACAAGATTTGATGGGAGACATGTCACCCACTCGCCACACTTCAGTTTTCGAGCTTCTTTTTCTACTCTTCCTAATTGAATCCTTATTGGCACCTTTCAAATTATTCCCCCCCCCTTATTTGCAGAGATGCAACGTATTTGTGTTCCTACTCAAATCAGTCACTTCTGATTTGAGGAATGACTGATTTTCTGATACTCTGGTAGATAGAAGGAAGGTAATTATCTGTTAACCAGTTTCATGCTCTTTAAAAAATCCTAACACTCATTAAAGGAGAGCAGGTAAGGGTGAAAATATTTGAAACCTAAACGCATCACAAAGAAAGCTCATGAACATACTAACGATTAAACATGAACAAATTTGAGCTAATGGTAAATAGATACATTTTGTTAAAAATTAAATAAATGATTCGACAGATCATACAGAGTTCATTCTAGATGGTCAAGTGTATAGAAATCTAAGTCATTAAAGAATAAATATATGATATACAAATATTGCTGAACAATTCCATCATGTAGTTCTATTTATATGTCCTAGAGTCCAAACCTTTGAAGAGTACGTGAAAGTTTCGTTTTGCTCTACAGTGGATAAGGTAGCACAGTAAAACTCAATTTAAAAATGTTGAAGTGTCTTTTTATTCTTGAAAAGTCTGTGAGCAATTTACTTTCGACTATTGTTTTTAATTCAAGAAAGTAAGTAAAAATCGATATGCATTAACACAATTACTCTTTGCGCAAAGATTTTTCAACAAATTTGATAGTGGAGGAAAGAAATAACTAACTTAGTAGCTCTAAATAAGAAAATGAAACCCACTTTGTCTTTGAAGTCGACTTCGCTTTAAAGGGAACTCTCATTAAGTCCTTGCGGAAAGTAATTAGCTAGAATCTGAGCTAAAAAAATTCCGTTAAATGCTACCAATTCAATTGTAAGGCAAACTTTCACCGTGAATCTATGGTAAACAAGCCTAAATTTAACAGTTAATGTAGTTGTTTAATGAAGTTAATTGTATTACGAATATGCAACAGTGAACTCCATTTTAATATTCGCTCATTATTACTATTCCAAGCGGTTATATTTCAAGGCCAGATAGCAATAAAAATTCTGGTTGTTTATATTGGCTCTGTGATCAGCAACCACTGTTAGTATCAATGTAAGCAGAAGGTTTAATATTTGAAAGTTTCAACCCACACGATATTCAAAATAATGTTGCGGTTAGGTTCATCATCTTTTACCTTGCTGATAATGATAATTGCAATGGTTTGTCAAATACATGGCAGAATTTACAAAAATTGTTAGAAAATTAGGTAGTTATCAAGGGTCTTCTAACTTATCGCAATTATTCAGTTTTTTTACAAGAGAAAATGTGTAGGTTAAATCGATAACCTTGTCAACTATTTCATTCAATGGAGGCATTAAAACTCAGCTAAATGGAAGCTTATTAAAAGTCAGTGCATTGAGAAAAACGTGTAATATTGGCATTCATTCAGCGTACATGAGCAAATTCAATCTAGAAATTAGTTCTAACTACATGTGAACTCACTTGTAACCTGAACCAACTCTTATTGGCGTATCTATGAGCTGCTCAAAGCCTTGTGCACCTTTATAAGCGACTCACCCTAGTTTTGTAGTTTGCGTCTTGTGTTCCACCTCGGAATTTACTCATCAAAAAACATGGCACAGCTATTGCGAAGACTCTCGAAGCAGGATTCTGTCTCTGTCAGCCAGAGAAGAAGTAATTATTGGCCATCACTTTACTACTGACTCCTCCAATCGTTTGCGCGTTTATTGAAGTCTGCTTAATTTTCCTCTATTTTAGAATCAAGTGCTCTGGACGATCCCGAATGGAAATCCATTCTTGAAATCAAAAATGAAGCTCTTAAAGTGTGGCGCCTTCCCGTATGTTTACTTGAGTTCCAATTATTTATTTTATACATGATTAAATTGGTTTAATTTGAAATAAGTGTCCTTCTTTCCAAGGGATAAATTAAATGAATTAATGACTTGGTTAGGAGAAAATAGTGTGTTAGTCACTATAAAGAACTTTATTTATTTAATTGTATTCAATCGGTAGGATAAAGGACCAGCTATTCCACTTCTGGAGGAGCAGTATGGTTTCTTCCTTAGTGATGAGCGATATGTGGTTTTGAAAGTCTCAAATCACAACAGAAAACTCTGCTATGATCTACACTTCTGGATTGGTCTCAACAAGGCCTCTGTGGGTTGCGATTCTATTTCATTTTGAAGCCTGAACATCTAAAGAGATATTCTAAATGTGATCACTTTTTATTTTCCTTTAGAAGCTTGTATCTGAGCCACCGGAGAAAGTCTCTCAAGTTATGGCTCTACTTAACGACAATATAGTTGTTCACCGAGAAATTGGCGAATTTGAGTCACCACTTTTCAAATCGTACTTCAAGGAATTTGGGTGAGTTCCCGCTATTGTTGTTGTGGAAAATTTTTTGGAAAATTGTTGGTGTATGAGACCTTTCAAACTTTTCACATGATAGTCGAGAGCACCATTCATGCCAATGATTTAAATTGTGGTGAATTTACTTGAGTTCTTGTATGTATTTGCATTATTTATCGATTCAGTCATTTTTAATGAGAATCATTTTCTTTGTTTTTTTCGAAGCTGTGTTAATTAAATTGGATCATTTCAAAAACTGCCTATTAATTAAAGTTAATTTTTTCCTTTCATTTCATTTATATGAACTTTTTCAGTATTTTCCGAAGAATTTGGCGTAAATCGTGAAAAAAAGATGAGAAAGAATAATGCTGTGTAACATTCAATTTATTTTAAATAACCCTTTCTAACCTAAAATAGATAAGTTTTGCAAACCTCTTTATAAAATTGCGTTTTTGGCTTCACGACACAAACAATATAAATCACCCGCAGACTTGAAATTTTATCGACTATGAACCAAGATCATAATTTGAAGACATTTATTACCATTTTTCATCATAATTATCACATATTGCGGAATCCATATAAATCTTATTCATAGTATTTTCAAATATATCTTATCAAATTGATCTTGAAAGGGAAAAGGGTTTTAATTTTATTTGTTTGTCTTACTTGATATTGCTGTAAAAAGATCATGTCTATAATGCCTGATTAGAGCACAAAAATTAAATACATAGAAATATATTTTTATATTTTTTTCGAGAAAATTCGCGTAGATTTAATTATTTATCCTTTTTGTAATTTTAAAATTTTTCCCGCCTACCACAGTAAAAGAATGATAAAATTAAAATAAAAGTATAATATGCATTTAAAATTTGCGGAATTGTATCTAAAGCGTTAATCAATAACCCTAATGCTTCCATGAATATGAACACCGACTAATTTGGAGTTGCTTTCTCCTTAGAATTCTTAACGGAAGCCTATCCGACCTTTTCGACCCCGAAAACCCGGAGAAATACGTCAAACGTTTGTTGCGCTTCAAGCTCACACGAAACAAGAGTAGGATTGAGGTGACGGAAGTTCCAATCTCGAGGCTTTCTCTCGATTCCAATGACGTGTTCATCTTTGACGAAGGCACCAAAATGACCCAATGGAACGGTAAAAGATGTGATGAGGAAGAACGCATTTCTGTGAGCATTTATCTTTAACATTTCTTATTTATACCCATCACTTTTGTTCAATTTATTACTTCATTGATATTTCATTTTTCAGGCTAAACACTATATTGAAAGATCACTAAAGGCTAGGAAAACCAAATGCACTTCGGAGTTCGTCGATGAGGAGGACTTATTCGACTATGTAAGCACTAAATAATTAGTGATTTAGATTAAATGTGAAAATATATATGTATTCTTACACGCAATCAAATGTATTTGCTTCAGAATGAACTCTATCGCAAACTGGGTGACGCACCAGTACCCGCTAGGCCCATGCGTCTTATGAAGAATGCATTCAAGAAGTCTATGCACAGGTAGATTAAATTGGCTTTCACACTTATTTCTTCAATTTTGATATTTGCCAGTTTATATTCACACACATTTTTTTCTATTTATTTCTCACCTGAATTTAACTCCACTTGATTAGTACCTTCGTTTTCCTAAAGCAAATAATACTACTGATGTTAAATATATAATGGATAAACGGTTGGTTTCGATTTGGTGATCATCAATACTAGAGGTTCACTAAAGTTTCTAATGCACACCAGAATGAACCCAACAACAAGAAATTCGTGTTATATAAATGATTAAATCAATTTAATTAGTACTGTCTTAATTTGTTGGCCTTAATATACAAGAAAGTATCAGTAATTACATAAAAATTTTTAGTCGCTATCATTCTCTCTCTCTGCGTGTATGTAGACTTACGGATGAAACGAAGAAACTTGTTTTGCACAATGTTTACAACGAAAAAGTGTATCGTAGTGGAATCAATGTGAATGACGTCTCATTTATTGATACCCTTCATGTGCTCTACGTCTACATTGGTCCAGGATCAAGCGATAACGAAAAAGCCAATGTTTGGCCACAAGCCGACGTATGTGCCCTTACCAATAAATCTAACTGAAATCTAGTTGCTACTTAGCACGTTTAAAGATTATTGTTCTTACTTGCGATTTTTTTAGAAATATCTTAAGGACAAGAAGTCACCTTACAAATCAATCACCGTATTCAACGCTGGCACTTACTGTGAAGGCTTCGAAGAAATCTGGGATGATGCTAGACAATAGTTCCTCAACGATAACCTCTTCAACCACCCCCCCCCCCCCCCACCACCAGCCTCCCCTACCACTCCTAACTGACTAAACATCCCATGAAGTTCGCTTGCTATGTTAAGTCTATTTATTAGTAAATAGAACTGCTTAGTTATCTTTTTGATTGACTGTCTAATCAGCATATGTTGGCGGAATAAAATTAGGCTGATAATATGTACTTAGCAGTTTTTACAGTGCTCCAAGAGGGTTTTTTGCTCTCTCTCACTCATGAATTTCTAACTTTTGTTTTGGAGTTGTGAAATAGCCTATAACGAGAGACATGCAGTAAAAATTTGCCAAATTTTAATTTAATTTAAAATGGTGACCTGTGCCAATAATACCAGTATTGATCGCTCTGCACACCTTTTCAATTTAGGCTTTTGAAGTGAGACGAAGAATTACCATATTTTAATGCAAAATTGGATTTTCACATTATTTCCGCGTAAATGATTCGTCAAAATACCTGAGTGAAAAATGTGGATTTATATCCTATAAAGATGGGAGGAATTGAAAACTTCTCATATTTCGAATTTCTGTTCAGAGGTAATAATTAATGTGGTGATATCTCATAGTTTCAATAAATTTAGCAGAATCGCTTCAAGATTTTTGAAATTTGTCATTCATGACTTGAAAGTACTAAGTTCATTTTCTTTGCAAAATTGGGTTTTTAAAATACATTAGACAAAATTAGTATCTAAGTCTATAAAGATTTAAGCATTGCAAGTGAGGTCGTGAAGTTCAAATCACGAGAACGCATCAAAATGGTGGAGCAGACAAAGAGGTCAAGAAGGAAGCAACGAGTTCAGATTATCAAGTCTCCGCCTCCATAGCTGCCATGAATCACGATTGATTTTGAATGGGATTTTCACTTCATGAACAAGACAATTCTGTTGTGCATTATTAAAGACACGGGGTGTGCGATAGACTTACCTTCACGTGGTGCACCCTGGGCAACATATAATCATAAGGCAAAAAAGTCTATTAACTAGCAGTTGACTTCTGACTTCGAATTACCATGACCCCATTGTATGTCATATTCGACTACTTCCACAGTATTAGCCTCACATTTTTTCTACCTTTGTGTCTGTCTCTTTTGCATTTTGAAACACTCTTCTGTTCCTACCCCCTGTTCCCGACTTTTTTTTCACTTTAATATTCCTTCCTCTATATGGAGCATAAAGCCAACTAAAGGGCTAATGATAACTAACAAAACGCCTGTCATTTGGTATAAATAAATATTAAAGACACTGAGATACCCTACCGCTCATATCTCAAAATTAGGCAAAATAACTGCAACGCTTCACACACAGAGAAATATTTATTGCTGTGACTTTAAATCACAAAACAGAAGTAAGGGAAAAAAGAGATTAATTAAGTCAGCATTTCAAGTGGACTATCTTTGTTTGTTTAACTGTAATCATCCCAAATTTCATCCATTTCGTAACTCTTTTGACCTGCCATAACGTAATGAACTGAACGAGTTTTATTTGGGGTCGATCTCAAGTATTTCTGAAATTGCAAAAAAAACAATGTAAGTTGGTGAAGTAAGATAAGTTTCAAATGTTTCCTAGGCTTAGCATCAATGTACAGTAGGTGCTGTCAATAAATGTGTTGTGCTTTCACACAACCCCATTTCCACTGCCTTTCCTCTGTTCCTCCCACCCACCCCCCCCCCCCCCCCCCCCCCCACTCTTTGTGGCCTCAAAGTCCGACTGTCACATAGAAGAAGGTTTAAACAGCAACGTCAATAGCACTTTTGATATTGTTTTCAGAAATGGTGAATCATCCAACCAGATTAGAAGCCAAAGGTATGTGAGAAATGGGTGAAATCTAATTTGGCACAGTGAGAAAAAATAAAATCACCACAATAAATTAAAGGATTGTTTAAGCGTTAGTGGAACAAATTTTCGTTCTTCTCAGGCAGAAAAGGTTAATATCAAATCTTTGTTTTGACAAAAGTTGCAGCGTTTTCTAATCCTAATCTTGCGCCTTATAAATATTCTAAATTTTCCTGGTAATCTCTGATTTTAATATAACTGAAGTATATTCACGAAGTCACGTTTGAAGCGATGTAATCGAAGGTATTATTGTACTCATTTCAAATTCAATATTTTGCATCAATTTTAAATCGATTTTTTTATCAAACTATATTCTTGAGTGGAATTAAAATTCTTTTACAATTGGTACTCCTATGAAACAATTAAAGAGAATCAGAAGAATACGACACTTGGCAAATATCATCAAAGGCTTAAAACCATGATTTCTGGTTCATTTGAGATACGTTTTATCCCATTATTGAAAATTTTATCTCGTTTTAAATTAAAAGAATGGAGATTATCTAAACCAACATTGCTCTATTGGGGCATTTTCTACTAATAAATATTGATTTTGCTATGACTTTAAGTATATAACGGAGCAATGAGACAGCGCCATTTAATTGGTTTTATTCCAGTAATATGAACCATCCAGAAGTCCTAAAAGTTCTGTTATATCGAAAATCGATAGGATCTCCAGGTAACATAAGTCACGTCTGTTAGAAAATTTCAGCCTTCAAGCTGAACTTATACGAGACTTTCTATTAAAATATTCTTAAACACTTTACCTGACACTGTAGTCTACTGATTGAGATTGTTAAGTCAAGGTATTTTTAAACATCTTGTAAAACTGACTTTTCCTCATACTGAACAATCATTTACTTATAAAGACCGGCTCACATTTTCAATTTTCACACACTCAATATCCAGAATTGATTATAATTCTTACTTTGAATACAATATAAAGTGGATTTAATAACCGAACTGAAATCCCCTCTCTTTAACCCTTACCAACTATCACCCTAACAAATATAAGCCATAAATCAATCAACCAAATCGTCAGAATAATTAATCTGATTCTTAAGGAAGAACACAACCAAAACTCAATCGATCATAGTTTTAAGCGAGAGTCATCCTCATAGTAAATAGATTTTGAAACCCTTGAATGGATGGAGGTGCTGCTCTAATTAGCCCTTTATGGTCCATAGATGTTATATGGATATCAGTTCTGCGTCGTAAAACTGTCATAAGATTAAATGACCTTGGATTATAAAGTTTTACTTATTACCTAAACGCAGAGTTTAGAAGTTAATTGTATGGAGCGCCATGATGAAGTCCTTCGTCATTACTATCTTTTTTAGTGCTTACGTTATTAAAGAAGTCTCTAATAGGTCTTTCTTTTTTTCAATATCTTAACAATAACCGATTGGCATATATTAAGCTTCTTAGTTAATAGCCAAGCTTTTTTCTTCTCACATGTAAAAAACTGTTTTGGCTTATCATGTAAGAACCCTCACAAATCCATAATGCCGGTTCACAGTAGCTTGCGCAATTTGTTCTACTACTCAAAGCAGAGTTAAAATTTTTGATTTTGGCAACTATAACGCCTGACTCCAATTTAGGAAGGCGTTTTCAGTGCCATATCTTTACATCTCCTCGGATGAGAGGCTCAGATTTCCACACTGCCTGCATTGACCATTTCGCGCACTATGTGCAAACCGAGGACCTATATTTACCAAGCTGCAATAAATGCATTTGTATATGGAGAAAATTGGGCGAATTAAAACTGGCACTTTCAATCGAATCAGGTTGAATACTACTACTTACATCCGCCTCCTTCCAGACGCTCTTGCGCTCCTCTTTACCAGCCATAGGCCCGACATAGATGTAAAGACCATCAGCCGTGTCCATGAAGTTAATATCAGTGGGTTCGATTCCGCTACGGGACAAACATCCGCTGTAAACCGTCTTTACCTTCATCTCTCCCTCTTCGTTTGAAAGTCTTAAAAAAATAACAGATATATGACTGCTATCAAGATAGAAATACATATTAGGATTGGTTAGGTGGCATCAAGTTGCTCACCTAAGCATTGTCTTTTTGAAGTCCTTTGGAAGTGTTGGCATGGGTTTGACATCATCATCACTTAGAAGGCTCGTGAAAGGGTTCTACCATTTGCAAGGAAAAGCAGTTAGCATTTAACAATTATGCAATGTCTAGTACCTCCATTTCAAATTTTAATTATGAGTAGACACGAAACAGGACCTTTCATTTTTTTCTGAAGACTTAGACTATCTAAAGACTACTCGCGAACCAAATTTTATCTTCTAAGTTATTCCCTTTATAAGCTCAGTTATGGCTTAAGATTGTCTAAAGTTAGTAAAAACGCATCCCTTAAACAAAATTCCCTATTCTCAAATATTTACAAATCGACAGTCAAATTATTAAAGCTAAACAACTTATCAGATAATAAGTATTTCAACCCACACATGTAGTATTTGATAATATTCCAAATTAATAATATTTATTAAAAAAGAAGTTAAACGAATTTACTCAAATAAAAAATTGCATGAGCCTATAGACTCGATGTAATACAACATTGTGTCATAATTCATCAAGCAAAAAATCACTTCTGCCCACAAGATAGAATTACAAACAAAATGTGAGCTTTCTGCTTTTTTTTCTTAATCGAAAAATGAGAAAATGCATTGTTTTAAACTTGTTAATGTTATATTAAAGTTAAAATTTTTACTGCGCTTCGGCTTTGTGCCAAATTATGAAGACTTGAATTTTGTTTAAGTTGCCTGTCTGCCTCTATTGGTCAATAATATGGTTTAGACAATTGGATGTATTGCATTCCACTTAACAATAGCTAATTATTTAGGAACCACATTTGTAGTTATTCTTACTATTGAATGTTGGAACCTCAAGCAGTCTTTAGAACTTTTCTTTTTTACTTAATAATTATTAGTTTTCTATTTTGGAATATGTCATCAGATGCCAGAATTATTTGAGTACGTTTGTACCCTTTCGAAATGGAATGAATTTTTTGATATTTCTAAATAAATACATTATTCGTCTTTTGACTCTCCATTTCTCACTCATTCCATTTAGTCATCTTGCTCCACTTGCGTTCTTCAACTTCGTTATCGATTTTTTTACACGCATTTCACTCGTCTTGCTTACTACTGGCAATCAGCTCTACTTCACGCCGTCAAGGTAACACCTGCATACAAATACCCCTTCCAAACCAGCGCACAAGTTCCTCTTGATTTAAAATTTCTAATTCTCACTTTAACTATATTAGTTGAAAGCCTGTTTTGGCTCATTCATTAGTGATTTTCACTTGAGTAGTAACCTATTCTCTACACTTCTCTTAGGAATGTCATGAGTAGTTTCAAAGCCAGTCTCTATAATTCAATTGTCAAAACGGTGCGATAATTTTTCAGGTAGTAAAGTTGGCAAGTATCCGCGATGCAAGTTTTCATAATCAAGGCAGTTGGCCTTGCGTCATTGAAGCATTGTTGCTTGGCCCTGACCTGAATAACCTATTCTGAGCCTGCAATCGTGTCTCACTGACCAAAATGTCTTTTTTGTCTCAAGAAATATAAAATTAGACCTTACCTTTGGGAGCAGATCTTCTTCATCGTAGAATTCTCTTGTCAACTTTCCTTTGCGACGCAATAATAGGCTTTCAATATGCGATGAAGCCTGGTAAATTAGTTTAAAGGCAATTATGACAATATTTATAATGATAGTAATAATCTAACATTTATTGGTGTTTAAACGTATTAGAAAATTTATAAATTATATATAATTTTCATCTTACCTCGCAGCGATGGGTTGGAAAGTAAATAATGGTTTTTCAGTCATTTTCGTGAAATAATCAATCTGATCTACGAATTTCAGACTTAATGATTATATTCTCCCTAACCCCTTCAAAACAACGCTCAAAACGGGAGGTATAAAAGAGTAATAAGCACGAGGGGTTTCTTAAATCTCATATCAACGTCCCATCATGATTATAATGGCTTTATGGATATTTTTACTCTGATCGTTTAACCAAAATACATTTGAACGCACACCCCACAAGAGTCTGATTTATGCCTCTCACCCCAGGGTTCCCTAACAGAACCAACGCATATCCTCTAAGGGTTTATCTTACATAACATGATTAAAGCACTTAAGTAGCCCTTGAGTGACTTTTGCTATGCTTTAGATTTCCTCAATGAACACTGGCCAGAAACCTTCCACCTTTTCATGTCACTACTTCTAATAGAACCAAAAATATCCCCCCTCCCTCCTCTGTGGGCTCCTAAACCACTGATCTTTGATCCTTTCACTTAGTAAACTACGTTTGCCACTGCCTTGTGTGGTGGAAGGTGTGGTCTAAACGATAAGGTATCTTAGTGGCTACTAAACCTTCTATATATTTATGAGTGCGTCTTAGGAAAAGTAGACAGATCTCCAATTTTCCAAAGACTAATTTTGCTCTTTTCTTAGCCACCGATGTTCAAGTTGTAAATCAGCGGAACTCCTACTTTTGACAACTGGCCGAAATTTGCTTACTATTTTGGTTTTGAATTATAAAATAATGAGCTTAGTTGGAATACGCCTTACTCGAGTAGTAACCAACAAACTTATTTCTATTGTCTGATGAAAGTCAACTTAGTAATTATTTAACGCTAATAACACTAATAGTCATAATAGCGATATTTATTGATATTTTAATTGTTATAAACTTACTCCACTTCTTTCCTTCTCGCTACAGAATTTTCCATTCCATTGTAGCACACACAGTCCCTTATCAATCACATAAACGCCACGACTATTGAGGGCTTTCGTGGAGGCCTCAACTTCTCTAAACTCGGCTCCATGATTGCCCAATTTAAATCTCATCAATCGAGGTTTGTAATTCTTTGCCTCCTTGTCGTCAAACCCGCGTGATGGGCTTCCACGGAAAACACTAAATTGAACAAGAATATATTAAGGGAAATTTAACTGAAACTCACATGAATGTCTTGAAGTAGCTTCTAAACAAAGAGGACTCGAAGTATTCGATTTCTTTATGATAGATAACATTGTCTTCAAGAAGGCCCGAAAGTTCCATCACCTTCTGTGGGGGCTCCGGTGGTATTTGCTGAAATTGGGTGACACAAATTTTAATCTCGTCTACTCAAGTATAACTAGTAGAAAATAGGACTATTAACTACTCACTTTTCTCATCTTGTATGGAACCCAGTAGTGCAAATCATAGCAGATGCGTCGCTGCTTATTCGAAGCTTTGAGTGCAATATAGATGGCGTCAGAGAAAAATACTCCATATTGTTTGGCATCAAGTGGCTTAACTTCAGTGTCCTAGAATAATAGGCATCATGGTGGCATCTTGAAACTAACCTCAAGTCTCCAGACCATAAATTCTTCGTGGTCTATTTTCGTTACTGGTTCCCAGGCTTTTTCCTTCAAAGCTTGATTGTCTGAAATGGAGAAAAATTGCAAAGCGATTGTGCAATATATATATATATAATATTGAATAACGATATCTGTGCTTAGAAAGCAGTACCATTTTGAAATTTGACGTATTAATTACAATAAAGGAAAAAAACAGTCTAGAATCGTATAATTATAATTGAAAAGAAGCATGAATTCCAGTTATATTTTTATTTATTCGAAAATAACTATTCTTACATCTTTCCTCCAACTCTTTTTCCTCGTCTTCGTCAAAAGTTGTATTCGAACCTGTTAAGCAAAAGGAAATATTTATCACTTTAAAGTTTGTACAAAGCAAAGATGTTGGGAAAATTTTTCCTATCTTTTTCTTCAGAGATAAAGATATCATCTTGATTGTTACCATTACACATAATTAGACTTACGAGAAAATGTAAGATTTTCATCAATTGAATCCATTGTGGAATAATAATTCCTTAGCGTGTTCTTACATTAGTATTCTTGAATATTTTAGACATCTAAATCGATCAAGTTTGATCGAACTTACTTGAATTCGGATCTAAAGATACTCCCTCAATTAAAAGGTTTCAGAATGACATGAGCGTGGGCCTTCTTACAAAAATAAGATGTGCTAATTTTTAGGATGTTTTATCTGCTACTAATGATTGCACGTGGTGCACCTTGGGCAATGTTATCTCATACGGCAAAAAAGTCCATAAATCGGCAGTCGACTTCTGACTTCAAACTACCATGATCCCACTGTGTCTTTTCGATCACTTCCACCATACTAATCCTACCTTTTCTCTACCTTTGTATTTGTCTGTCTCTTTTACATCATTTAATCACTCTTCTGTCCCCCCCCCCTCTCCACTTTTTTCCACTTTGGTGTTCCTCCTTCCCCTCTGTGAAGCCCGAAGTCCGCTAAAGGACAAATGATAAATATCATAAAGCCCTCCATTTGAAATAAATAAATAAATAAATGATTTGATTTCGAAAAGAACCGATTAAAAAGTCCAAAGAGCTTGGCTCAGTTTCCACTGATGCTTCGGGTTTTCAGAGTTACTATTCAATTATTAATTGACATTTACGAGTAGGGTAGCTCAGTGATTCTCCTGTTTTTTTGAACAATTTTCTGAATTAAAATTTCATTTAATAAAGTTTGTCGGGGTAAATCTCGGTCATACTTACCTTTTCTTCGTCTAAATAGATTCTTAATCTTCTCTTTAACGGTCTCTAAAAGAAAAATTTCGAAACTTGTGTTTAAATTCTATTAAAAACACATAAAATTTGTAAATTATAACAAAATTTAAGCAAAAGTTGACTATGCAAACCAATCGGACACTTTGTAAACAAAATATTAAGATACTTAAATGATAAATTCTTTATGAAAGACAGCTATGTAGGCGTCTCGCATCTAAATTGCCACTGGTGTCAAAGAAAAATTTCCTTTATTAAATAAAGAATGAAAAAATAATTAAAAAGACATTTATTTAGGACTCCGGGATAAAAGTAGCCATTTCTTGTTTTAAAAATAATTCCAAATGCCATTTAGGAAAGCGTTTCCTACGCTCATCCCAATAACAGGGAGAGAATTCTTATCTCCTGTTTTCATAAAACTAGGTTAAAAAGAGAGATGTACTCGATTTCCATTTCTTCAACCGTTTAAACATTGGAACCCAATGAAAATTAACGTGCCGTTTATCCATACCATCTCTTTCAAGTGAAATTTTGACAGTTGAGAATACTTGAAAGCTGGAGTAAATGTTAGCTTGAGAAATAAAACGAAGATTTCTATCACTCACGTCTGGTATTGGGGTCGAAATGTTGATTATTATTATTATTATAGCTGCTTTGATCCCAATTAAGTAAATGCATTTGCAGCAAATTGAAAATTAAATTTAATATAGCTAAGTTATCAAAATTTAATGTAATTTTATTAATAATCTAAAATTTATATTTTTTATTTTCAGCAAAGTTATCCTACTAAAGGGTCATGAGATTCAAAAGCCATTTGGGTTTTTTCTAGTTGTGAAACACTGGTTTCATTCAATGACATCCCCCGTTTCGTCTTCACACTTTCGCCTAGATTATTTCAATCAATGGAACTGAATTGGTTGGGGATGAAATATCACATTTTTTATGAATAATCAAACGTAATTATTCAGCGGCAATCGCTTAAGCAAATATGGTAATATAAAAATGTAATGGACAAAAGCTTATTTTAATTATTGACTACTAGAGGTTGCAACTATACTTCCTTTTGACAACCTTAATTGAATCGATTTTTTTCGCTGTTATTAGAAAAAAATTCTCAATTAAATTTGTTTTTTTTGAAGAGTTTTTGAAAGGCATTCATTGATTGTTTTTCAATATTATTTCACTACATTAAAATGAGCATTCTTATGTGCGTATTCGCGGTATTTGGTAAGCATTTTCTTTCAAAATAAGTAATTATTTTGTTGTCAATCTTTCTCAACATATCATCTTCGAGCAGAAGATCCAACCTGGTTTAATGCCACTTTAACGGGTTGAAATCGCTGATTTATGCTTCTATTGAATAGACCACTTGTTTTTCAAGCCTGACAAATTTGTTAATATAGTACTCAAAATTGCAAGTAGCAACACTTGTTAGTTACTTTAATTGTCTATAGGTGTATAGATGGGAATTAAAATAAAATAGTCATGATGCATTTAAAAGAAAATTCAAAAAATACTGTCGATAAAACTCATTCCTTTTTGGCAGGTACTTCAATTAATTTTCATCTTTTTCTCTTCACTGATGAGATTTGGCTCCTTTGGCTTCATTGAAAAGCTCGGTGCTCTCTCTATCTACCACAAGCCCCGATAATTCAGCAAAGATGCCTCAATGGACACCGAACAGAAATGAAGTGGACTGCGTTACATACAAAGCAGATTTTACATCATTAAACTTAAGTGAATTTGCCTGCAAGCTGTATAGATTAGACGTTGACTGGACCTTTTACCAGAGGGACCAAATGGTAAACGCAGTTTTTTTTAAATAACTTGCAATTGAAAGTAAAAGTAAAACTTTTAAATATAAAATATTCTTTATTGTGTACTCAACACAGTTAACCGAAATAGAAAGAACACTTTGCTGTTTTAATAGATTAATGATGTGAAACAAAAAAATATATAGCATATCCTGTCTAGACTTATTGTAATTTATGTACTATCTGTGCTTTAAAAATTCAAATTAGGAACTTATGCTTACGATCATGGATTAGGTTGATTCATTTTCACCTGAAATGTTTTGCTGCATTAAAAAAGTACCAAGTCATTTTAATTTGAAGATGATTGTAAAAAAGTATTTCAACGTAGCGCATTGTGCATAGATCTTAGCAAAGTCAGCATTAAAAGAATAATATTACAATTCTGGACAATATTTTTCAAAATTAGATATCTTAGACATTTTTCTAGCGATTTTTTTAATTGTTTTTAGCCGACAAAAATTCCTATTGCATCCACATAAATTAATTATAGAGAACAGTTTCTTACTCAAAAAATTGATAAACTTTCTCGGTGATAGTTAATATTAAGTGATAATTTTTTTAAAATTACTTATGTGGTGAAATTACAATTTCATCGATTGACTATGTTCCAATGTAGAAATCGAAAATAAAAGCCATGCAGTTGAACTAGGGGAAAAAATTCTCCTGAACTTTAAAGCGTACTTTAACCGATGCAACTCTCTGCACTAATGAAGTGAATTTTAAGTGCATATGGAAGCACGTTATCATTTTCCCAATTTAGATCTAGACTTAATTAAAATTTAGACAAAGTAGCTTCCACTCATAGAAGTTTCATGATTACTAATGCGCCTTGCTATTCAAAATGGTATTTAAATCTTTGACTTAATATTACTGCAGAAATCGGGCGTTTTGACAAATCATATCACTCTTGATCTACCAAGCACCTTTATTAATTGTTTACTTGTAATGAATTTCACTACCTCTAGATTGATTTTCATGAGTCTGCAATCGATTTTTCTGATAATATTGCAGATTAAATTGTCACAAATGTTAGTTTAAGTCAAATAAAACCACCATAATAAAGGTTAATACAAATATGCTTAAGTAAATGAGCAAGCATGCATTTTCATGGGCTGGGAAAATCAATATTCCTAATTTCATTTCGGAACCAAAAAGAAAATTCCGTTGCAAGATGGAACTGGAACCCCAGTAAATTTAATTCTAACGCTTCATTCCACTCTAAACGACTTCAAGGTGGTCTGAAAAAAACGCATTGGGGAAACTAGACAAATTGGAAGCCATCTTATAGTCAAATTGGCTCACCGAGCCGAGTAACTTCAAGGCTCCATTACCTAGATCAAGCCATATTGTTTGCAACATTTAATCATTCGCTGAAAAGCGATATGCTTTAGTGTGTAAAAAGAACAAACGAACTTTTCATTATATAGTTCGGGCAAATTTGTTAACTCTTTTAGCATTGAAGAGTGAACGGGTGCAAAAATACGAGTAAAAAGGTGACTTACTCTTAACTTGCTTGTCTACATCACTATCATCATCATTATTTGAGATGGTCCTTTGCTTGGCCGACATCCTTCCTCCAGATCACCACAGAAGAAAATGAGAACGAATTTTGTGAGCTTATGTGATTTAGAGTTGGTTACCTCACCGGTACTTCTGACCTTATTCGATCGTACCCAATTACAATTGAGTACTTATACTCCCTTTTGTGTTCTTTGCGTTGGGTGGGAAAATTTTAGAACAAATCTTATGAAAAAAATGTGAAATTTACAATTAGTTAATTTTACTTCCGGTTTCTTACAAATTTGTTACATTTTCTAATTTAAAGTTGGCTTGTGAGCATTAGATGCATTATTCAATTCAAAATTCCAATTTTTGCATAAAATATGAAATAGCTAGTTGACAATAGCGAAAAATTGGGAATAATTTGTATTTACATTTACAACAGATACAATATTTTCAATATTTTTGTTATCTGTTGAATTTTTTCCCGAGAAAATTGGTCTCTCCATTTTGTACCAAATTGATGATGACTTTAGGCGGATAAAAAGACAAATGATATGAAGGTGTTAAACAATTCAAGCACGTTGCATTTCCTGTAATTCTTCGGCAAACATTTAAGGCCCTATGTTGAGTTTCATGTAGAATAAAAGGCGTATGATTTCATTAGCTGTTCGGTTGGGCGAAACAGAACAGCAACTGTATAAATTAAAATTTGACCGGTAGTACCTGTTACCCCTCACTATATTTTTCAGTTTGAACAAATTTTTGCCATTTATTTTATAGATTTCGAACATTTTATAAGCGTATACACAAATGGCAATGCTGCAGGATTTGCAATTCCAGAAAATAATGGTCAAATCACTTTACCGCATAAAGAAAGGATGGTCATTTATAATACAGAACGCGTATTGATAGATGGCCCTATGTTCATTCTCAATATCGTCTTGAAATCTGTTGGTGAAAAGCTGTTATTCTATTAATGCCATTTAATTCGAAAGGTCTTTTCTTCAATTGTATATTTATAATGCTTAATATTTGTTGATTTTTAGTATGAAAATATAGAATGTCCTACTTATCTCTGTTTTAAACGAGATGGTAAAATTTCAAGCAGACAAACGTCAAATGGTTTCCAATATTTATTGCAGGCTTGTTGATAGTTATCATTAGCCCTTTAGTTTACTTCGGGCTTCACAGAGGGGAGATATATAAAAAAACACAAAACAAATCGAGAGGGGGGGGGGCAGAAGAGTGGTCCACAGATGCAAAAGAGACAGAGAGACAGACACAAAAGCAGAGAAAAAGTTACTTGGAGTACTTTGAAAGAGTTGGAATATGATATACAGTCTGGTCATGATAGTTTAAAGTCAGAAGCCAACTGCTGGTTTATAGACTTTTTATCGTATGAGTAAACGTTACCCAGGGTGCACCACGTGGAGGTAGGTCTATCGTGCACCCCTCGCTGCATTATAGGAACTGTTAATTTAACATTAGGGTATGAGATAGTAACATGTTCACAAGACGGAATTCAATTCCGTTAATAAAACTATCTACTTATCTTTACTAAGTAAAGGCGAATCATACAAATGTGGTTCAGTCTTTCCCTTTTCTAAAACATATTTCATGCCATCTAGGGTGAGCGATAGACTTACCTACACGTGGTTCACCCTGGGCAACGTATACTGACATGGCAATAAAAGTCTCTAAACCGGCAGTTGATTTCAAACTTCCATGACCATATTGCATGTCATATTCGACCACTTCACTGTACTCACCTCACCTTAACTTTTTCTGCCTTTGTGTCTGTGTATCTCTTTTATATCTGTGAGCCACTCTTCTGTCCCCCCTCCTCTCGATTTATTTTGTGATTTTGATGTATCTCCCCAATTTGAAGCCCGAAGTAAACTAATGGGCTAATGATAACTATCAACAAGCCTACAATTTTATATAAATAAGTTTCAAGTTATCTTTAATTGAGGTAATTTTCTTAATTTAAGAGGCTTAAACTAAAAAGTTAAATCATAACAGGTCGACCTCCTTGGTCGTTAAGGCATGCACTTTATGGACCATAAACAACTATAACTACGTGAAAACATTTTAGGAAAGCATGCCTAAAGCCAGGTCTTACCTCAATTACCTATCTGAAAGACCCAATATCATCTTAAGACCTCAAAATGTATTGACACTAAAAGGTGGGAAGATGTTAACCGCTTTGAATTTGTATCTGAAGTTTCATTTAGAGGTCAGATATATTTCAAGGTCAAGTTTTAAGTGCATTCCGATAGCAACATGGTTAGTGACTGGTAGTTTTATTTACGGGTAAAATAAATGAATTTATGGAAAATATACTAACATTTTGATAAAAATCGTTCATTATCAAAACGATTATGAATTTGTTAAGGCCACTTATCCTGTGCAGTTAATTTATTTAGCGTATATCAATGATTTTATAGCCTATGATATGCCATTTAATACAGATTCAATCGATTTAATTAGCCCTATTTCTGTTGAATACTGCCTTCTGAAATTGCACAAATTTGAACTTTTTTGAAATGTTAAATTAAGAACGCTTTTTGAACACAATCCCTTGCTCTTGAAAAGGGACAACTATTGCCCTCCAGTCGGTAGCATTTCAAAGGTGCAGGGTCATAAAAACGGCAGTTTGCCCCGAGAGACCTATCTATAGGACTTACTTTCATCACCCCGCAATTGTTATCTTGATAGCTATATGCCTTTCTCTCTCACTCTCTTTCCCCCCTCTCTAACGAATTCTTTTATCTGATGTAAGCACTTAATTAATACGAGTGGCTAACGTGATTATCCAGTTACTGGAATTTTTGTGGTAGACTATTAAAATCTCGGTATTCGACATTATCTTTATTGCAGAAGCCCAGATAAGATATTTGATCACAGTATAGATAATGTTAAAATTTAATGAGATTTAATACTTCAATGGGGCTTGATGTCGTTTTTTGTCACTCTGATTGCAGATATCGATTTTTTCTTTTCTAAAATCAGGTCATATTATAAAGGATTTTTAACTATATGAAACAAGTAGCAATTATTGGTCTGATAAAGCAACTTTTTAATCAGTCCCTCTGAGGTAGATTTGTTTGTTGATGTTTATACCAGTATCCTTAAGAAGTCAATTTTCAATTGAATATCCAACATTCAAATTGACTGCTTAACCCAACAGTATATGGATAATAATTGGGCATAAAATTTCTAGAAACAGTTATTGATATTCTGCACATTACACATCATGCACCATTTTGATACTCCAGACTTTGAAAGGATAGGATTTTGAATATTCATCCCAAATAGCAGCTGTGCATTATAGAAGTCCCAACTGTTAGCGTTTACCGATTTGTGCATCGATAAGCATATATAAATATCTTGACGATATATACTATTAAAATTGACCAAAAACCTTTGTAGTAGTACATGTGACTTCTTCTAGAACACTAATATGAAATGTGCATATTACAGGAATGATCATATGGCATGGTTTGATCCCCACCTTTTAGAGAAATGATAAATACGAGACATGTCAAAGTAACTGCGCTTGGTGTTACAACATATTTATGGGGTGTGCGATAGACTTACCTCCACGTGGTGCACCCTGGGCAACGTATACGCTTACGGCAAAAAAGTCTATTAACCGGCATTTGAATTCGGGCTTCTAACTACCATCACCCCACTGTTTGTCATATTCGACTACTTCCACAGTACTCTCCACACCTATTTTCTACCTTTGTGTCTGTCTATTTTACATCTTTGAAACACTATTCTGTTCCTCCCCCCCCCTCTCGAATTTTTTTCACTTTGATATTTTTCTCCTCTGTAAGGCCTGAAGTCAACCAAAGGGCTAATGATAACTATTAGAATGCCTGTCGTTTGATATAAATAAACAACATATTTATTTATGAGGCGAGAAGTTTCTATAGAATAATACCCATGAGAGAAAAGCTCTCGCCTTTTTGAAAGAATATTTTATTACTTCAGAAAAGTTCAGGAACCTGTTTTAATAACAATCAATGATTCTTTTAATTAACACTTTTAAATCTCTTTCACCTTTGTACCTTAATTAAAAATATACAAACACTTCACCTTTTTAGCCTCGAATATTTCGACAGAGA